CCCCTAGTAGTGTCCTTTGCTCCTACTAGTATGGCCAGGAGCCCCTAGTAGGTATTGTACGCGACATCAATTGAAAGACTTCATTCTTTGGACAGCACTCTTTACGTCCATGCAGCCTTACTGGGACCTGGAACAGAGTTGCCGACTCTTCGAGGGCAGGATCACTTGTCAAGTACATCTTTGTCTCCGACTTGAAGTTTGGAACACGAAGCAGACCAGTTTGAGATCTGCTTTGCTAAAGAAAAAGGTCTTCCGTTATTGTATGAGACAGGAAAGGCTTGTATATGATTCATATGATGTTCTTTGCGATCTCGGAGACAAGGACTTAGTGGCACTACATTTGGCAGTTTGGACGACCCTGCTCAGTTGTGCTGGCAGGCAATAAAGAGCGCACACAAAAAGAGGACCAATATAGTAGAAAGCCAATACCACACAGATGCAACCAACTTCTGTATAATCATGTGATCATCTTACCTGTCTTGCACCCTTCTTTATCTTTTGTTGGGCAGGACACCGACCACTTTTTTGCACTTTTGGACATGAACGTGCCCACTTCATTCTTCAGCAGCGTGTTCACATCCTTTCTTCCGCAACATCATTGTTTTGGGGACATTGTCATCCAAGAGATATGGGATTTAGTGAGTCCAGTGTGGCGCCAGTGCAACATGGTTCGACCGAGCATGGCCGGACGTACGGAAGTACGATTCGACCTCAAGTGTCACTGGAAGGCCTTTTGAGGTTGGAGGCCATCGCTCTTAGGTTGGAGGCCATCCCGACTGACGCGTAGTGTATTAAGGTGTCCTGACTGACATGCCGGATGTGATCCCACACCTTCAACGCAACATCGATGCAGCAGAGCTGTCTCCTCCACCTCGGGCGGTGGCCTACGAGTGGGGCACGGAGTGGGGAGTGGAACACACAGCGGCTGGAACAGGCAGTGGAACATTTGGAGTGGTCTTGGCAGCGGACTGCATTTACGACACGGAGAGAGGGCAGGGATGGGCAGGGCACGAAGACGGAGGCGGTGGAGGCCACAGGCCATCATCGCTACCCTACGAGCAATGGCATCCACACTAGATGGCCTCCAGCCTAGTAGCGATGGCCTCCACCCGTGGAGGCCCCCGCTGACATTTTTTGACGAAAGAAACACCGGAGGACCAGATGCAGCTTTGGGTCTAAAATTGGACCGTGAACAGGTGTTGAAATCATATTCCAATTGATCAGCTTCTTTTGCTTCTTGAAAACTGTTCCTCCAAGCCCCCGGCTTGCATCGGACTGGTGAAAACCACGTGCGTTTCTGACCGCACTTCGCCGGAATGACAGAACGGTTGAGAACCGCTGACCCCAGAGCCAACGAGGAGAATGTCGATCCCTTCGTGGATGCGCTTAGAGAGATATCTGGTGAAGAAAGTGAGCTGCTGGTGGCCTACGACACGGCCTTGCAGCGTTGGGGTGCTTATCGGCGGTTTCTGGACCTTGTTGAATGCCAGTGGCATGTGGAGACTCAACTTGAGGGTGGAAACTGGGGCAAGTTGGAGTGGTCTTGGCGCCTTCAGGCGAAAACACCTCAACCATCCTACTAAGAGCAAGAAGAGCTACTAGTAACAAAGGGCATCGCTACTAGTTAGCAAGGACGCTACGAGTAGCTCCTGGCCTTACTACTAGGAGCAACAAGCTACTAGGAACAAGTGCCTTACTAGTAGGAACAAGAAGCTAGTAGTAACAAGTGCCACGCTAGTAGTAACAGGTGCCTTACTAGTAGTAACAAAGGGCATCGCTCCTACTGAACCGTTTCCCGTTTCCAACATCGCTCCGGTTTGCGAGGAGCTCTTGGCAGACGCACAACTGGAAGGCTTCCGGAAAGCGGAGGTCGAAGTCTACTGGTTGCGCTCCAAAAAGCCGATGAACGGAGCAAGAGGACGCTCCTGGCCTTACTACTAGGAACAAGGACGCTACTAGGAACGCAATGGGGTCTCGCCAGGAGCCCCTAGTAGCTTCTTGCTCCTAGTAGCGATGCCAGGAGCCCCTAGCAGTGCCCTTGCTCCTAGTAGTACGGCCAGGAGCCCCTAGTAGTTCTTTTCATATGCTTTTCATTTCATATACTTTTTGCAAGAAGAGAACATCGTGAGATTCGATGCTCTTTTCGACAGTTCTCTTCCCTTGGGATCTGCAGGGACATTGGATGTGCAGGGACATAGAGGAAATGGATGGCGCCCACAAAGTCATGTGGTGGACAAGCCCAAGTTTTGGTGTATGAAGGCCGTGTATTTGGCCTCGCACCCAGACACCATGACCCTGGAATGATGGTCATTGGAAAACCAAGGCTGCCTACATTAGGGCTATATAGGGCTTAATCTCTTTCACATGAGCTTCCATCGGTTTTCCCATCTCCACAATGCTTTTCACAAACCCAAATGCCCGATGCTGAGGATGGTACCAAGATCGAAAGCGACAGCTCGGGGATCCCAGACATTGGGTGCCCAAAGATACGAAGTTTGGATCCTGTTGGACCTCGAACTCGACGTGAGTAGGGTGGCCATCGCCAGTAGGTTGAAGGCCATGCGGCCATCGCTAGTAGGTTGGAGGCTCTTGTTGATTTGCACCAGGCAACAGACTGCTGAGATTTGTTTGCTTTGATTTGACTGCTGGGGTTCTTCTCAATGACTTGGTGGCTGACCGGCGTTTTGGTCCACCGCTGCGTTGTTTGCCCACTTGTCTCCCACTCTGTGAACGGCGTTTTGTTTGCCACTTCCTTGTCTCGTTGCTACTGATCCCCAATTGTTTGCCCACTGCTCTGCCCGTGTGATCGGCGTTTTTGTTTTCGCTGCCTTCTTATCGTTTTCTTTTGCTCCCCACTGGTCTCCGCATTTGTCTAACTTGTCTTACCACCTCTATGCCCGGTTTCGCATTTTGTCTCTTCTTTTGGTAATGACTGAATTTCTTTATCGTGTTGGGTCGAAAAAATCGTGTAAAGCCGCGGTGAGGAGGTGAAGCATGGTGAAGCTATCCGCGGATTGCCGAGGCAAAGCCTGTGTGATCCCACCTTCGGGAAGGCGGTCTACAATCCTCGGCGGATTGCAGAGTCCTGGGAGGAGAAGAGCAAAGCGGCGAGATGGGAACGAACGAGTCCTGGGGTGAAGTGACGATGACAGTGATGAACGAGATGAGTTGGGCCAGTTGGGTAGGATGACAAGAAAAACCGTTGGGGAGTTTTCAACCAATTTCAATACTCTTGCAGTCCTTGTCCTTTCGGTTGTTATGATAGCAGTCTTTTTGCAAAAGATTTCATTAAATTGCTACTAGGAACAAGTGCATCGCTACTAGTAACAAGTGCCTTACTACTAGTAACAAGAAGCTACTAGTTGGATCCTCTAAGGTAGCTTCTAATTCGAATTAGATTTAAAGGATTCAGCCTGCTCAAAGAGGTTCACCAATCTCGCACAACAATAAGGTTGCATCCTAGTTCTGTGAAACTACGGTGGAGGCAATCGCTTGTAGGTTGGAGGTCATTGCTATTAGGTTGCTTTCGCTATGTTCCTAGTCTCCTAGATCGCAGAGGCAATGGCAGCATTCCAAGACTGTGGGTCCTGCGTCACTGTACCAACCATTGGCGCATGGAACGAAAGTGGAAGCTTCTTACCCTTCGCCCTAAGTCCCAAAGCCCAAGACCTAAGGCAACAAACTGGATGTGAAAGGTCTGAAAAGGAAAGACACGTCTCTGCTTGAAAGGTCTAGAGTCTAGAATCAGAGTGAAAGCAAGAAAGAGACAGAAACACATTCTCACAAGAATCAAGCGTGCAGTTCTTTGTGAGGATTTCCTGGATGCCTTAGGCTTCCAGAGCAGTCCCATACGACAACATGCATCTCGTTCGCACGGGAAAGCGCAAGTTGGGAAAGCTCCGCTCGGGGCCTGAAGAGACGTCCATTTTGCGAAATACGTTGTTGGACCGAGGAGCGAAAGAAACAATCATGACAAAATTCCAACCTACTAGCGATGGCCTCCATCCTAGTAGCTTCTTGCTACTAGTAGCGATGGCCTCCATCCTAGCACAGCCAGTTTGCAGAAGCAGAGCTGTATTCTGCCGAATGACTGCTCAAATCACCAACAGCATTGAGGGATGTTGTGTTTTCCTTCATAATCCGGATCTGTGGGGTGGGTGTTGTCCAAAGCTTTTTGTGTGATTCATTTGCAATATCGAACGTTCTTATACTTTTCACAGGGCAGACTGTTGGACAATCCTCATTTGTTGTACGCTGCTACAGCAGTTTTGCGTCTATTAAGCAGGATGTAGCTTTCTCGCGTGAGAGACAGCTGCTGCAACGACTGTTCAAGTCTGAGAAAAGGCACAGCAGCGCAACTTTCTTTCTGGAACCTGGTTGACTCGGGCCATTTTCGGTTTGACTACAGCTGCCAAACCTTTTTGTTGCGATTGAGTTTCTCGAAAGACACCCATGTATTCCCCGAGCAAGGATTGTTTTCCGTTAGCGGCATGGCGGTTTGCTCGGTTGTCAGGTGAGACAGCTCTTCAATCGGGAGGATTTGGAGGAACAGTTGCAAGGCCATGGTTGTCAGAGGAAGGAGGGAAAAAGGAAAAACAGATCTATAGGAGCCCATTCTTCGATATATTCTTCGATCGTGGAATGCAGTATGGCTCTTGTGGCCCCCTGATCTGACGCCGCATACGGCATGACTAGTGACAAGTGCATTTGCTACTAGTAGCAAATAGCTACTAGCTTCTAGCTACTAGCAATGCACCTGTTAATAGCGATGCCCTTGTTAGTTGGCGTGCCAGGTCTGTTTGATGCATTGTCGGGTGGACTCCCCGCACTGGACAAAGGCTTGAAACGTATCCGTTCTCGGGACGATTTGGGTGGCGGCTGATGACTGACAGTCAGAACGCCAGGAAGAAACACATCGCTACTAGGAGCAAGGACGCTACTAGGGGCTTCTGGCCGTACTACTAGGAAAGTAGCTACTAGGAGCGTTCGGACGCTACTAGGTAGGCTCCTGGCCTTGCTACGAACGGAGCGATCGGACGCTATTGGTTTGTTTTCCTAATCGATGAGAGGTTTCCAAGCTTTAAGAGCTGAGATGGCAACTGCCGCGCATTCTGTTTTGGAGAAATGACCAGATTCCCAAAGGCTTTTGCAAGGCCACTTCGAACAGTTAGTCCGCTTGGTGGTCCGATTGTGCCAGTGGTGGTCGCCCGATTGTGCAAGTCACACAAGTCGCCAGGTGGCTTCTTGAATTTCAGCTCCAACATTCGTGGACAGGCTGTATGTACAGCACCGCTCTGAAATAATCAGTAGAGCCGTCAGGGCATGCCCAGGGTCGAAGTCTACAAACTTTGTAGTTCTTTTGTCATGGTTTTGAGATGTCTAGCTCCAGGTTTTTGGTCAGTGCATTGATCGGTCTCTTGGAAGTTCAACGAAAACCGCAGAGCAGTTCAATATTGCGGTCGATTTCATGTCAATAGAAGCCAGTTTGTCGCCAGGTTCATGTTTTGATGGATATGAAAACAAAGATCTCGTTGCTCCCTCCAACAGCAGAGGACTGAGTGGACTGAATAGACTCGGAGACTAGACTAGATAGTGTGAAGCATTTTTCGGTAAACTACAGTAGAGATGTACAGCATAACCAGCATCATGAAGTATGCATGAAACCACTGCGCAGCCCCTTTTGGATTGAGAAAAAGGTTCACATGGTAGCGGGAATCCCCTTTGAGCTCCAGAGAAAAGGTGCTAGGTCACTAGGATCCCGGGTGAGATTTCGAGCCATAGATTCGGGGCCTTTGGAACACAAGCAGCTGGACTGGTGATAAATTGTTGCGAGCGACACTCGTTGTGTCAGAAAGACATTGGAGATGGAGGAGATCAGAGAAATCCTTCAAACTATAGCGCAGAGTACGCTGGCAACAGCATCAGCAGCTGAGGCAGTGAAGAAAGCAGTTGAAGACAAGAAGTCATCAACACCAGGTTGGTCAAAACAGCTAGCAAAGCCCAACATGTTAAGTCACAAGAAGGAGAGATTAAGGCATTCGGAGAGTGGTCATGGGTACTTGAGAAATACTTGAGTGCAGTTGATGAGGGCTACATGAAAGACTTGAAAGAGACTCATGACGAGCCAAACGAGAAGTTTGACATGGTGTATGAAGCTCTATGGATTGATAGCTTCACGTATGAGGGGAAGAGCACTACAATTGGTGAAAGCTGCAGATGATCCCAACGGATTTGATGCCTGGAGGAGTTTGATCAAAGCTTTGAAGCCAACTTCAAAGGCTAGCGGCTTGAGGAGTGGCAGTTTTGGGAGCAACAACTACATGGCCCGCATTTTCAATGAACAGTGCACTACAACCTCAACTTCTGAAGCTTGCAGAAGTATTTGATGAGACGGTCAAGGCAGGGACGACAATTCAAGAAGAGTTGAAATTTGCTATTCTTTTGAGATGTGTAGGTTGACAGCTCAAATCATAGTTGAATTTGACGATTGGCGACAATGTTCAATACTCAACTTTGAGGGAACAAGTGTCGCAATGGGTTTGTTCTCAGCAGAAGTGGGCTACTTCCATGGTGGCAAGTAGAAGTGCAGACTATCAAAGACCCATGCCAATGGACATTGATCGAGTCCAAGATGCCAACGAAAAAGGTAAGAAGGGCAAACGCAAAGGAAAGACCGGAAAAGGAGATCATAAGGGTAAAGAAGGTGATCAGAAGGGCAAGGTAAAGGACAAGACAAGATAAGACCAGGTGTGGCAACATGTTACACTTGTGGAAAGCCAGGACATCTTGCTCGAGACTGTTGGAGGAACAATATTCAACATATTCAGGAGGAGCATCAGTGAGTAGCTACTCAAAAAGTTGGCCAACAACAAGCCAACGTTAGCCAGCAGAGTAGCTCAGCAGAAACCAAACCAGTGAATTGGGAACAGTGGGCCAATCATCTTTGACTTGCGAGAAAGGGATGAAGAAGTAGAAGGCCATGGAATTCGAGTGATTCACTTCTATATTGGAGATGAGGATGATGATGAGCCAGAGATCAAAGAGGCTGAGCAGTTGTGAGGAGGCGTGGGGAAGAAAATGAGGATGTGGCCATCATTGCTGACTGTGGAGCTGCTGTAGCATTACTCCCTCTGAGTATGTGAAATCATGGGGAAGGAGAATGCGAGTTCAGTGCAAAGACCAAGCCACAAGATGCGCAGGGGAACCGTATCCCCGCCGGGTCCTTGCATGACCTTGATGGACTTGAAGTATTTCGCAAAGAGAATGTGATCTTCAGTTCAAAGGTAAACCAGCCCATACTTATTGTTTTGGAAGGTAGATGGAACATGGTTGGGGAATCATCGGTCGAGAGCAATCCTTGGAGAATGGTGACTTGAAGGTGCCAGTGCCTGAGGCTTTGGAAAAGGCAGCAGGTTGGCCAGTGTGAGCAAATTGGGAAGATTGGCGATGAGTTCAACATCCTGAGGAGAAAGTGCAAACCAGGGCCTAGGGAAAGATGGACTATGGACCCAGCCAGGTAACTACATCCAGCAGATGCTGAAAGCTTATGCAAATTAGGAAGATCAAACGCCAACAGCTACCATCAGACAATTCAGTTCAGATGGAAGACAAATCAGAAGTCTTGCAAGGGCAAGAGAATATTAGCCTATTCAGAAGCATTGTTGGATCAGGTATCTACCGATGTCAAGAGACGTATGATGCGGCGTTTACAGTGAAGGAATTGGCTTCAAGAATGTCAAACCCAACAGCTCATTTCACCGCTTGAAGGGTCCTAGGATACTTGAGGAAGACTATGGACTATTGTCTACTTGTAGTTGATTTTCCACAAGAGGAGAAGGCTATATCAAGAAAGGAGAAAGCTATTGGTGCTTGGAAACATTTTCAGATTCAGATTGGAGTGGAAACAAAAGCGAGAGAAAGTCAACGTCAGGAGGATTCCATGCATTGAACAGTTGTCCATTGTTCAACAGCAGCAGGACACAGAAGATCATTAGCCTATCTTCATGTGAAGCAGGGTTGCGCGCAACAGTTTCTTCAGCGTCAGGTGGAATTTACATCCGCTCAGTTCTTGAGTTTGCTCTTGGGACAAAGGTGGGCCACTACATCTTTGCAGATTCTTCAAGTGCGCGCCAACTTGTGATGAAGAGAGGAGTTGGAAAAGTCAGACATTTGGATGGAAAGCTGCTATGGATTCAGAGCAGGAAAGACTTCAATATGTTGCAAGTGTAAACATCGCAGACATCAATACACAACCACTTGGAGGACAGAGAATCAGATACTTGATGAACCTCATTGGGCATTGGCACAGCATGAGAGAAAGGTGTTTGAAGAGAAGAAGACTTGGCAAGAAAGGCCGACAAGATTGTGAGGATGGTAGCGTTTGAGGGCTTGCAGCCAATGGTTACAGAAGCTTTCATGAAAGAGAATGAAAAGAACCAGCGGGGATTGGGAGAAGAAATAGAACAGTCCAATGGAAGCTGGAAGGCTTTGATCAATTGTGGTCATCAAGATCAAAAACATTGGTTTTGCAGCAGTGACCTTTGCAATGTGGAAGCTTTAGAAGCATATTGACAACTGCTATGCAACAGCGATGGAACACGCTCGGTTCAGAACAGATGGAGCAGAATTCAGGTAGAACTTGAGAGTATGATCAGAGAGAATGAAGACCATGAAGAGAGATAGGCATTCTTCACAACTATGCCAGGAGAATTCATTGTGGATTGATTCTCAATGGAGGCTTTGTGGAGAGACAATTAGTCTGGAAGATACGAGAGCAACAGAAAGACAATATCAAGGTCATCGTGTGATGTTGCAGGCAGCCTTAGATGGAGCAACTGGACCTAGTAGGAAGAAGACTGCAAGAGGTAGCAGATCAGGTTGAAAGGGAAAAAGAGAAGTATGAAGAGTTGCTAGCATGTGCAGAGATGAGAAGAGACCATCCAGATGCGCAAACGATCTCAAGGAACCCTGTTCCTTAGAGAAAAGAGAAAAAGCGCGCAGGAAACCATGGAAACAGAGCTTAAAGGCAGCTTAAGGTAACAATTCGATCGCTCACACTACAAAGAAGGAGTGTGAAGCATTTTCAAGGTAGACTACAGTAGAGATGTGCAGCGCAACCAACATCATGAAGTATGCATGAAACCACTGCGCAGCCCCTTTTGGATTGAGAAAAAGGTTCGCAGATAGTCCACTGCGACTTGTGGGTGAGACCAACACAGTTTTTGTCCCGGCCTGTAGCAAAACTGCGCATCTTTTCCTGTTACATCAAGGGGATCTCAGGCATAGGCTCTTGAAATTTGATGTGAGCAAAATGTTGGATCTCACGAGTTACTTGGCTCCTAGTAGCGTCCTTGCTCCTAGTAGTAAGGCCGGAGCTACTAGTAGCGTCCTTCCTCCTAGTAGCGATGCCCTTTGTTCCTAGTAGCGTCCTTGCCCCTAGCATGTTGGACTTCACGAGTTAGTTACTTGGCCAACTGCAAGTGGAAGGACTCGCAGTGGATCCAGCAGAACTTCGATGCAGTTTTCCCTGCAGAAGAGCCTTTGGACCGCGCAGCCTTTCCTGGCGTGGCCAAGGCGAACCTCAGCTAAACCGTCCAGTCAGGAACAGAAAGCATCAGGCCAAGGCCTTGGCCAAACATCCCTCTTCAAGGATTGGAAAAACCAAGAGCACGCCAGCCTGTGGCTGTTTGGCTGTTGGCTTTGTTAGTGTGTGTTTGGCCAAAGCGACCGATGAACCGGCTGCTCGCTGCTACCAGTTGGTGCTTTTGAGAAGGGTTGTCCGCACCCTCATCGAATACGTGTGGCGCCTAGCCTATAGCGACTGGCGCCCAGGTGTTTTATTCTGTTTCTGTCGGTTGCTTTTATATGTTTCAAATTCTTGTAAGCAATAGCATTCTTCTTGAAGGGCAGTATAGAGCCCGAAACCCAATGGCTAGGGCTTTGCGAGACACATCTATGAATCCTCTCTTGTGTCTTCTGGAAGTCATTTTCAAGGATTCAAACAATCAGTTTAACGGGTGATGTGAATGTCGCAAGATGCGATCAATTAATTTTCTGTATATTGCCCCGAAAGTTCCGAGTTTTTATTCTCATATCGCCTTGTGGATTCAAGTCTCTTTAAGGAGCGCGCGCGCGTCCATGGGTGAACCTGCCGGATATTAAAGGGTACTTCAAGAAGTATTGCTCGTGGAGAACGCCTACTACGAATGGTGGTTGGAAAAAGGCGCTGGAGCGAATGTTTGTAATCAACCTGTGTTCTACTCCATCAAGTGGATGTCTCACAAGACCAAGCGTCGTCGGGAACAAGAATTCCACTCAGACCCTTTTTCGCGAGATCAGCTCCGGTGAGATTATTTGCAGTAGAGTCACTTGGGTCAAGGGGATGTTGAAAAGAGCGATGTGTGTGAAGTGGGACGCCGTGAGTAGTCGGATTGCCCCGGGGGGGGCAGTGGGCGTAAAAGCGGGTGAGCGTCGCAGTCGGAAACGTGCTCGACGAACTGTACCTGTCGGATCAGGTGGGGCAGAGCGCAGCGTTTGGGCATTTGGGACTGATTCGGCCCGAGCATCAACTTGGTCAGCGGCCACTTTTGCCACGGAGACCTTCCATAGTGGGCAGAGACCGTCATCAATGAACTCTCAGACCGTGATGATGATGGATCTCTGATCAATTCCCATGGTATTGATGTTGTCCCCTGCGAGAGTGTGCAAGGACGGGTTGCGATGGTGAAGGAGCTTTTCAAGCGAATGACACTTCAATGATTTAGGGCAACGCCTGTATGCGCTGGTTGTTCCACCTACCCCGCTCGGCAACTTTGTTCGATCATCTTGCGTGACCGCGCAACCCTCCATTCAAGAAAGCGGGGACGTTCTGGTGATCTGCTGCCGATTCCGCCGTGGAGGGTCACTACTGACCTTTTTTGGGGTGACGGATGCCATTGAGTTCTGGGTAAAGACGGTGATCTGTGTCATCAACTACCACTGTTGTGTCGGCTGGAGCAAGGCGGTCGGCGTGCCCATTGCTGATGAATTGTCGGAACTTCAGATTGTGGCCAGATGGCCCAAGTCATCACAGCAAACATTGTTTCCGGGGCACCACGAGAATCTTGGCGTGACTCTTCAGTTCAAATAGATATGGGTACGTTGGAAACCCAGTGGAATACATGGAAGAATTGGAGTGATAAAGTTTTGCTGGTGTGGGCAAGGCCAGGACAAGCCATCCAGCCCGTGGAGGCATTCCTATCACAGAAAAGCTTTCGCCTTGCTGAGGAGCCTTCTCCACACCCCGGACAAGATGCTGAAGCAGGCGCTCCAGAGTAACTGATGAGGAATGGTTCAACATAGTCCGGAGCGGACAGCAAGCGGGACAGACAAAGGCATCTCAGCGCAAACGAGTCTACAGGGAGAAGATTGCTGAGGCGCCCAAGATACGTTGTGTTGGTCAACTGACTGGCGCCCTTCTTGAAGAAGACGAAGGACTCTTGCACGACAGTGAAGATCTCCAGAGTGCGTTCAGCTTGTTTGCTGCGCCGGATGTATATGGTTACCTTTTCTCTCACGCAGCAAAAAAAGTGGATTCTTCCGCATTTGGACTACTGGAAGGTAAGTTGGTCCGACCTGCGTTGAGCGTCACCCCGACGGGGTGGCGTTCCGCGGTTCCTGCTGAAAGAAGACAGCGGTGGCTTTGATTCAAGAAGCTGTGAGAAATTTGGTCTTGGGAAAGCCCGACCCACCGAAAAGCGCAGCTCCTTGCCGGACGAGAAGAAATTCACTCTCGTATACATGGACAAATACAACGAGATTCAGGCGCCTTGATATGGACTTGGCAAAGGGCTACGTTGGAGGAACATTGGAAAGCAATTGGTCATGCCGTAGGGCTACAAGGAGGCGAGCTCAACGGGGAACTTGGAGATCTCAAGCTCCAGAGCGACAAGCTACGGGCTTACGTTGAAGTGAGCTTAGGCCTCCTGACCAAAGACGGCCTTCTTGGCGACTTTCAAACGGTCGATGTTCTCAGGGAGGGCTAATGTCTTGACGGCGATTGAAAAGGCAAGGGCCGCTCCGGTGGGAGCGACTTACCAGGTCACTGATGAGACCCTTCGTATGTTGATCCAATCACCCCTCAGCCGGGAGGTGAGCTGCGCTGATGCCTCGCCGTCAGGCGGGGGCAGTCCGGTTGCCACTGAGGTTGCTTGATGTTCATGCACCTCCTGTGGTCAATTAACGCGGATCATTGCCGCGCGTGCCAGTATGACTTTCAGAGTGGTAGAGGGTGGACGCAATACCCATGTCCGGTGCGCTGTGGCGGAGCCTTGTGCTCTGTAAACAGGCACTGTGAAGCATCGAGAATCCAGGTGCGCCCGTGACATGTTTCCAGCCCCCGTGTTCGGGAATTTCAGTGGATTGAAATTTACCCCTACGAAGCTATTTTTTTGGCGGGGGTGGGCGTGCGACCGCCTCGAGACATCCTCGCGAAGGACGATCCCTGGGACTACGCTATTGAAAAGGGTAAGGATCGGCTAGATGAGTATGAAGCTGATGGCCAGTCGAAGCAAGACGTTTTCTGCTGCGAGGGGTTACAAGGACCAAAAGCTGTGCGGAGTGTTGACAAGCCCTGCAAACTGGATCATCTCAACCCGTCAGAGCAGATCCTGGTTCGACGTGGCAATTGGCAACGCAATGGCCACAACAAAAGCTTGAAGGGGTTTCAAGACGCCTGAGGAAGAGGTTTGCTTGCTTGGAGCGAATTGGCTTCAAGGACAGGGATGTTCCACTCTTACTTTTCTACTTGCTGCTTTGGAGGTCGTCGGGCGAAGTGGACAAGCTTTTTGCGCAACATCCCTGAACTGCGCGTGGCAGTGAGCACGCCTGTATTCCCACGACGCCCAGGTTTATTGCCGTATAGGTCCACGACGAGGACGGCATCTTGAAATTTGATTCTGCAGCTGAGGCTAAGTATTCCTCAAGCCGGACCTCTTTCCCTCGAATATAGATGCGCCTGAAGGGCCATCGCAAATGCCTTAAATGCCTTTGCTCGCGGCCCACATCCATCGTCCGAACGATGCTGAGCACTTCCTTGCGAGAATTCTCGGCCACTTCATCATTTTGCGTACCCCTTGTAGAACGTTTCAGGGCTGCAAGGATGATGGCTGTCTTTGCATCCCAGTTCTGAACTCCGAACGGGATAGTCACTCTTGTGCTCATCCCCGCTTTCAAAGCCTCCGCATAGGCCTTGCAGAGTCTACCAAAGAGGATGGATCGATTGGCCCGTATCCGGCATATCGATGGCAATGGAAAACGAAGTTGTCCTACCCTTGGCAACGTACGCAGCGCATCAATGTGTTGGAAGTGTCTGCCCAGAAGGAGGGTTCGCGATGTGTCGCAGCTTGGGACCGTTCTTCAATGCACTGGCTTCTGTCTTTGATCTTACCTGGTCCCTTGTAGTCTCCGTTGTGGCAGCGCAACATATTTTTACGGTGCTCAAAAAGGATTTGATTACGTGGCGATACAAGGCCGTTGGAAGGATGAACGCACTGGCAGATGAAAATCGACCATCCTTCACCTTCCTCCAAGGCCCTTATTCGCATTTTTCTCCCCAATTTACTTTTGTTTCACACTTCGCTGCGGAAGTGACTCGTGGAGTTTGTGGTGCTCTTCCTGTTCTGACTTCACTTTAGATGGGCTGGTTGTGGTGCTTCCTGGTTCTTGGTTCTACTCTGTTATTCAATTTTCTTGAATAATTCACTTTCACTTGCGGGTGGGCCCGTGGTGTAAAGGCTGAATTCATTTCACCACGTACAGTCTGCATCACAACCTTTGCACATTCCAGTTGTGTGGTCATAAAAAGGGCTCCCTTGAGCATACACACAAAGTTAAAAATGTATATATATATACATATATGTTTGTGTCTCATTGAGTTTGGATCGCTTTGATTCAATTTGAGTTTTGCTCTGATGGCGCGCTTTCACTACAAGGTTGGAATTGAAGAGTTGAAGGTGGAAATTGTCGAGTCGATATTTTTGTGTGAAAACGTTCTTGCTGAAAGAAAGCCTGGGAAAAGAACAGGAAGAAAGGACAATTGACGGTTTTGCATGGTGCTCAGGGATAGTCAAGTCGAAGAAGTTGAAGGGCGAAGCGGAAGAACATTTTTCTAGGGTTGAACGCGAACAATTGTTTCTTGTATTTCACTGTCACTCCATTCTTCATTGTCTCCTTTTTGCTATTGGGTTGGAGGCCATCGCTTCTAAGTTGAAGGCCGTCCCTACTAGGTTGGAGGCCATCGCTTCTAGGTTGAAGCATCGCTACTAGGTTGGAGGCCATCGCTTCTAGGTTGAAGGCCATCGCTACTAGGTTGGAGGCCATCGCTATTCGGTTTGTTTCTTGTTTCCTATTTTTTCCTTTCCGACCTTTGAATCTTTCTTGTTTGTTCCTTTCGTTTTTCTTGCTTGTCTCACAGGTTTAAAACGTGCTATGGAAGTTTGTGTTTTCATTAGCGCCCGCTGTGCAGAGATATAAGGCTGGGGCATAAAGAAGACCTACCAAACCCACCCCAGGGTTACTCTGAACTCAATCAACGTGATAGGGTGGAATGGCGGCACCACTGGTGGTGGACATTGCTGTGGACCTGAAAAACGGAAAACCCTTCCACCTTCACACTGTCCGGGGTGCCAAGCTGCAAACGTCCAAAAAGGCTGAAAGGCGCTCATCTATGACAAGGTCGCATGTTGACACAATGTATTCTACGTTCTACTTGCTCTTTTAGGTTGGAGGAGATCGCTATAAGGTTGGAGGCCGCCGC